CAACAATTGTAGAAGCAGGTGGAGCAGGTCAGTAGAGAATTCTTTTACATTTATCTATTATAAAGTGTTGCATGTGCAGATGAAGCTCTACTTTTTCTTAAGTGTTGTGATAGTGTATTTAGCATTTATATCCATCAATTGTCATCACACTCGCCAGTTTTTTAGCCCGCTAGCTAGGTATCATAACATCCCTGTTGTATCTACTGTAAACAGATGCTCATTCTCTCTCTCTCTCTCTCTCTCTCTCTCTCTCTCTCTCTCTCTCTCTCTCTCTCAGGATATAAGGTTTTGTCACTCTTGGAGATGCCTGCAGATACTATAGACCAGGCAGATGTTTACATTCACATCACGTTCATTAAGAAATGGGACATTTGTGCTGGTGCAGCACTACTCAATCATATGGGTAATGTAACAACTACTATTTTCCATTGTTTAGTTTCCTTTTCAGTCTCAAGGTTGATTCTGATTTTTCTGCTGATTAAATTGCCTATTTTTGTTCATTATAAAACATTGTACTACATTTAGCACCTTATGCAGACAATAGCCCTTTTATGTTGGACCCCATCACTCTTAGTAAGAAGGTGATGGAAAAATTGCTATCTATAATCTTTCTATGAAGTGTTTGTACAGCATTGACATTTCTTAGAAAAATAAGATATGTCTTATACTCCGTGCATCATCCACACAAACAGATATGCTAAAATGCAGCAGTATATCAGTGATACTTTAAAATAGAATAATAAACCCTACTGTATTTATTCATTTTTTATGAATGTGTCTGTCATCTCTAGTTATTTTTAATGTGTGGAGTGCACTGTACCAATAATGTATAATCCCTGTGATTGTAGGAGGCCACATGACAACCCTAAAGGGAGAGGACATTGACTACAGTGGAACACCAGTTAACAAAGGAGGACTGGTGGTCAGTGTGGGTGTGGACCATAAAGCCATGCTGGAGAGATTACCAAACTGGGACCCTGAGAAGCACTGAAAAACACAAACACAGAGTCAGTGGTAAGATGGAGCTAATGTACCCACACTGAAGGAAGGTGTGCTCAACTGGGCACAACATACAGAGACTCATAAACAATAGGCAAGCAAAGGCACTTCCAAGAAGCAAGAGCACAGTTGACAGGTACACAGCACAGAACGCTTTTGCTTGCCTATTGCTTATGAGGCATAGTAATTGTTATTGTGGTTAGGGCAACATGTGGCACCCCTTTTTTATAAGTAAGAGTGGGTTATAAGCATTACCAGGCCTGCACAGTTTCATCATCATGGGACACCAAACATCTACCAGTCAGATGGATTGGACTCAGTGTAGCTGCCACTGGAATCTGCAGTGGCTGACACAGTGGCTCTCACTGCACACTCCCCTACATGTATAAACAGATATTTGCAGCTAGAAATTGTACAGTAAATCTTTCTCTTCCAGTGCATACACATGCTCATGATGAACACTGGACAACAGTTGCCATCGTTGGATCCCCTCCATTCATCTTCAGAGGGCAGCAGGATGACTGTAAAGTGAAATGATAAACTGATGAGCACAATACTGAACATTACAAGAAATCCTGTCTAGTTACTGACTTACATCATCTTCATTCCCATCTTTTTCACATGGTATTTATACAATCAGTTTAGCTCAATTACTGAAACAACCACATATTATTTGAGACTGGACTGAGACTCGCTCTGAGAGGGAACAAAAAGGCTCTGTATCCTAAACAGCCACTGGGTTATTGGCCACTAGGAGCTACTTCAACAACAAATCCTATAATAACCAACGTGTTACCCCACAACAATTCATTTTACCCGGTCTGCTTTTGCATAGTCATCTAGTGTGGCAAAGAGAGAGAGAATTTGCCTTTGGATTGACAGTGAACACTGACAGTGGGGCATCAGCTCCATGGCACTTTCTGGTGTCATTTATTGTAGTTGCTAGTCTCTTAAACTCTGGGTCAGGACTCAAGTGGTACATGTATATTTTAAAGAGACTTGAGAGTCAGTGTATTTGCATTGAATTGGTCGTTGCTTTAAAATGGTTAATTTAATTTCTGTTTGAATGTGAGTTTGAGGTAGTGTTTGCAAAAAGATGAAGCACTAAAATTTTGTAAAATAATTAATAAGAATACATTTTTACAGATTACATTAGTTCCCAGGGCATGCCTAGGCCCAGAGAGGATCAGATTTGCTAAGTTACTAGTTTTGCCCAAATATGTGGTAGCCAAACAGGAAAAATGTTTTATTAGAATTTCAAAAGCATTAAATGGTAAAATGTAAAAAGTTATTTATTTTCCCAGTTTACTAGGGACGGCATAATGTTTTTCTCAGTATAATTCAATAGAAGATATAGGGTTTATAAATCTATTGAATCACTACATATAAATTCAGTGACAACAGTGTATGACTGCAGAATACTTAAAACCTAGTTAGACAATACTGGTATGACTCCTTCCTGTCCAAACCTTTTGTGCAACTAAGGTATTGGGTGCTATCACAACCTGCAAAATATAACCCACAGAAATTACATCCTGCTATTTTGTCAGTTTTAGATTAGCAGTAGACTGAACTGCACTGACTGTGTTGAAGTACATATGTACTTGCATGGTTTTATTATCTAACACTTTTCACCAAAATGAAAATGTCTTTGGCTCAATCAGCATCTGTTTCTGGGGACTGCTGTAGTTTATATGCTGTTTGCTGTTAGTAAGTGTTTAAAGTTTTACATCCAGTACTTTCATTTTGTGCAACAGACGCTGACCTGAAGTTTGAATTTTACATTTGCTGAATGTTTGTTAAATGAAGAAAAAATGCTTTCATGTCATTTTCTTGGAGATGCAAGTGACTTGTATTATGTTCCGTTTGTTTCATCACCCTTTGTGTTGTTAAACTTGTATGAGTTAAAAAATGGGTCTAGAGGGTTACAAGTTAAAAGTTCTTATACTGTATGTTCTGCCACAAACGTAAGATAAAAATAGATGATTATCATAAACTTTTGTAAAGTTAAAGGCCTATCTGGATGATGATGATGGTGGTGGTGATATCAAAAAGGAGACAGCTGGACTCAAAGAGACAAGAGACACCTGCTGTCAGTCCTACACCTGTTGGACTCTCACTTGATTCATTTCAGTTTTATGATTTCATTGATCTGCACAGGACAACATTGTTGATGGGTGACGAAGAGGTGCATCCCAGTTCTCTTAACTGATCATTCCTTACTTCTCAACCCTTTCTTGACCCAGAAGTTGTACCGCTGCACCATCTTCTAGGATGTTTCAGTTCTCTTGCTGATGTTGGGAGGAGTGAGGAGGCTGCTTAGACAAGACATGAGTGAGAGACCATCCTTTGTGGAAGTCTTTTATGGACTGACGCACCTGTTTATCACTTAGTGATTGTATGCTTCAGGTTAGGGAGTGGAGGAAAGGATATCTCATGTCTCAAGATATTTTTGGTTTCTTTTTCCATGCATGTGTGAGGGACTTGGATGCAAGGAAAAGACAAGTGAGGGAAATGTGGATACAGGTAAAGGAATTGAGATGTACCCTTTGTTGTCCTCAGCACTCAGCATGACTTTTGTAAATGCTGCTATGCTAACACTGATTGATATGCAAGGCTATAGCAATGGAACTAGTACTGTATTACAGTGACATGGTCATCACACGGGTCATATTGTTTGAATGGACATTTGAAAACAATACACTTCCTTAACTTGGGTTTTGGCTAACTGTGTAATGAATTTAAAAAAATGTTTGAGTAAGAAATAATGATTAAAGGGGTACTCCTGTGATTTTTTTTGTGTGTCAAAGTCTGTTGACAGGTGTTGGGACGTTCTACTGCATATGTGAAAACAAAGTTGCGTAAAAGCTTTTATTCCTCCAGAAGGAGCTACAGTATTGTTGAAAATAATAGCAGTACAATGTGACTAACCAGAATAATCCAGGTTTTTAGTATATTTTTTATTGCTACATGGCAAACAAGTTACCAGTAGGTGCAGTAGATTCTCAGAAAGCAAACAAGACCCAGCATTCATGATATGCACGCTCTTAAGGCTGTGCAATTGGGCAATTAGTTGAAAGGGGTGTGTTAAAAAAATAGCAGTGTGGCATTCAATCAGTGAGGTCATCAATTTTGTGAAATAACAGGTGTGAATCAGGTGGCCCCTATTTAAGGATGAAGCCAGCACTTGTTGAACATGCATTTGAAAGCCTGAGGGAAATGGGTCGTTCAAGACATTGTTCAGAAGAACAGCGTACTTTGATTAAAAAGTTGATTGGAGAGGGGAAAACCTATAAAGAGGTGCAAAAAATTATAGGCTGTTCAGCTAAAATGATCTCCAATGCCTTAAAATGGAGAGCAAAACCAGAGAGACGTGGAAGAAAACGGAAGACAACCATCAAAATGGATCGAAGAATAACCAGAATGGCAAAGGCCCAGCCAATGATCAGCTCCAGGATGATCAAAGACAGTCTGGAGTTACCTGTAAGTACTGTGACAGTTAGAAGACGTCTGTGTGAAGCTAATCTATTTTCAAGAATCCCCCGCAAAGTCCCTCTGTTAAAAAAAAGGCACGTGCAGAAGAGGTTACAATTTGCCAAAGAACACGTCAACTGGCCTAAAGAGAAATGGAGGAACATTTTGTGGACTGATGAGAGTAAAATTGTTCTTTTTGGGTCCAAGGGCCACAGACAGTTTGTGAGACGACCCCCAAACTCTGAATTCAAGCCACAGTACACAGTGAAGATAGTGAAGCATGGTGGTGCAAGCATCATGATATGGGCATGTTTCTCCTACTATGGTGTTGGGCCTATTTATCGCATACCAGGGCTCATGGATCAGTTTGCATATGTCAAAATACTTGATGAGGTCATGTTGCCTTATGCTGAAGAGGACATGCCCTTGAAATGGTTGTTTCAACAAGACAATGACCCCAAACACACTAGTAAACGAGCAAAGTGTTGGTTCCAAACCAACAAAATTAATGTTATGGAGTGGCCAGCCCAATCCCCGGACCTTAATCCAATCGAGAACTTGTGGGGTGATATCAAAAATGCTGTTTCTGAAGCAAAACCAAGAAATGTAAATGAATTGTGGAATGTTGTTAAAGAATCATGGAGTGGAATAACAGCTGAAAGGTGCCACAAGTTGGTTGACTCCATGCCACACAGATGTGAAGCAGTTATAAAAAACTGTGGTCATACAACTAAATATTAGTTTAGTGATTCACAGGATTGCTAAATCCTAGAAACAAAAACGTTTGTACAAAATAGTTTTGAGTTTGTACAGTCAACGGCAGACACTGCTATTTTTTTGAACACACCCCTTTCAACTAATTGCCCAATTGCACAGCCTTAAGAGCGTGCACATCATGAATGCTGGGTCTTGTTTGTTTTCTGAGAATCTACTGCACCTACTGGTAACTTGTTTGCCATGTAGCAATGAAAAATATACTAAAAACCTGGATTATTCTGGTTAGTCACATTGTACTGCTATTATTTTGAACAATACTGTATAAACTTATGTATGCCACATAACAAAAACCCTGACTAATTATATTCATCTCCATCCAAAAATGAAAATCACCCCAACATTTTTAATTTAGATTTCTGTCTCCTTTCCAGTTTTAAGTTTCATATGAGGTCAAGAAAAAACTGCAGATTTTGTATAGTCACACAGCAGATTCCTAATTTGTGGCAGAAGTCTTTCATTTCAGTTCTGGTCACCATGACTCAATTTGGCCCATTGCTGTGTAACATTGGTTGAGGAAAAAGCAAAAACACAAATGTGTCATGTTTCTGATTGTGACAGACAAACCTCTGTGACCTCTCCACCTCTGTCCTTTCAGCCCAGTCAAGTTCTCAGGGGGGTGCTGGCCCCAGAGCCCCCTCAGCAGAGGACCAAGCATCCTCCAGTCACCTCAGGACCAGGCCATGGAACTGTCCACGCTAGAGCAGATGGACGTCACAATCAGCTCCGAGGCCTCGGCCCCTCTTCCCATTCGTCAGCCTGCCGGGGTGAACCGGGCTCAGATGAAGCAGCAGGCCTATCCTGTCATGGCCAAACGACCTGAACATCTACGTATGAACCTATGACCCAACATGCCTTTTTAGGCGAGTTTATTTTGTCACTCTTTGTTGATATTTTTAAAAACAAAGCAAAAAAGATATGGATGCTAGAGACGATGAAAATCAAAAATTGCACATCCACACACTATGTATACGGTCACAACCCGGAGTTTGTGCGTGGGTCTGGGACTCCAGCGTGCTGCAGTTAAGAGCTACCGACAAATTCACCATCTTGCATCCTCCTCCACCTCAGGTCTCATGACCTGTGTCTACTGACTCCCCCTCCCTTTCTGAACTGGACTAGTAGGACTGGATGTCCTATGAGGATCTTAAAGCCTTTGTGTAATCTGGAAATCAAAGGCTTCATGTATCACACAGTTTGCAGGCGATTTAAACTAAATGCAGTTGGTCTGTTGTACAAGATGACGTCCAAAGTGCTTTGTGCTCTCTGAATGAATGCCAGTGAGGAAACTGCTTCCACTGGGAGATGATGTTACTTCTCCTTAGAGAAAACATGCTCCCTGGCTCCGATATTGATATATTGTATACATTTATTATAGAAAACGATCAAAGAAACTGTTGTGGGCAGTGGACAAACAGAGGTTCTAGTATTGATGAATATTACTTTGTCTTGTTTTACAAAATGAATGCATTAACTGTGCTGTACATCAGTGATGAATCAGAGCCTAAATTTAAAAAAAAAAATCATGTTTAATTCTTTCAGCAGTGGTGGTGTGGGCAACTTGTGGATGGCTTATTTGATGTGGGATCCATACTTTAATTTATCTGCCCTTCAAGAATATGTCACTAGGGGATTTTTTACTGGATTAGTTTGACGCGATGTTGGCGTCACTCATTCCTATAAACACCCGAAACATCAATCTGATCTCAGTGCTGCTTTGTTTGACCGCTCACTCTACTAAACACCCCTTCAGGCCTCTGTAGTGAAGGGACAGGGCCCAAGTGACCCCTGGAGTGAAATCGTATTGAAGACTGGCACCAGTTGATCTGGACGTTGTCTGCCACTGTGGGGGTTTTACAGCTTCTTGCATCAGCGTTCACTTGTGTAGAAAGGAAATGTCAGAATTCCTGAAAAGCAAGGGAAGTTATAATAAAAGGAAAAATAAAAAAAAATACAAGATGTGTTGTTTTTGTGTGTAATCATCTGTATTCAAAGGAAAAAACAGAGACCCTTTTCGAAATGACCCAGTATTGTGAAAGTAGATGTTCATCATAACATTGTAGAACAGCAAAGCTGCTAGCATGTTTACATTTCTCATGATACAATCACCCTGTGCCAACATTTTAAGTGACTGGGGATTTGGACAATTTGGGCAACATAAAAAAAAACTCAGGGTTATGAGGTAACATAAAAACCAGGTTAGCAGATTATAGTAACTGATCTGAAACCCCAATCTAAGCACATACATTGATCAGCCATTACATTATGAACACTGACAGGTGAAGTGAATAACTGATCATCTCTTTACAATGGCACCTGTCAGTGTGTGGGGTATATTAGACAGCAAGTGACCAGTCAGTCCTTGACGTTGATGTGATTGAAGCAGGAAAACCATAAAAATGTCATTAATTACTTTCAAAAGATTCCATTTTGTTTTGATCTTTGAGAAATACTATACAATGGTCTCTATGAAGAGAAACATTCGGCAGCTATAGTGATATCGCAGCTGGAGTGGGGAGGCTGTTGAATGTGTCTAAAAATGATCTCTCACTCATTTTCCTGACCACAGTTTTCACTCCTTTTACATAAGTTTTCCACTGAATGGTTTCAGAGTGAGCTGCAAAGTGACACAAGTACCAACCAACTGCTGCATTGATCCCTGTGTACACAGTAGTAGGCAGCTGGTCATAATGTTATGGCTGATCAGTGTAAAGGCTTTGGCATATGCTGCTCAAATGAATAGCCATACAGTCTGTTCATTACTTGTGCTGGAATAAATTAACATGAAAGGCCAATAAACATTGCAGCGAAGTCATGTAGCATGAAGCTAAGTTTAGGAACTGGTAACAGTTTCATGTAGACTTCAATGAACCAGATGAAAAAAAAAACTGTTAGCACAGTATGCAAAGTAATAACCTTTTTTACATGTGGTTTCAGAAAGTACAGAAAAAAATAAAACTGCAAAATGAGTCTTATCCTTAAATAAACCCAGATTTACATTTGATGACAGCTGAATTTGTCAGTGCTGGCTTTCAAGAAAATACTTCATTCTTATGTACAATATGCAAAACCTAAGCAGAGCATTCAATTATCAGCTTTCTCACCAGACTGCTGCACTGGGACAAGAAATTTGTGTATTTTCTTGTTTTAACAGACCACAGCCAGTGATAAAACACTGTGTATTTACTAGATATTTAGTGATCAGTCAACATAACATTCAGTCTTGAATAAGGCTCCCGAGGGCAGCCTGCCACACAGGTAAACATATTACATCTCAAACTGAGTAAAGCTCTGTGATGGATAGTGTTTATGTCCCACCCAAAGGGGCTCTGCTAGGGGATCCTTGATCTACACTACAAATATATATATGGATGTTAAAATATTTGTATTAGGCCCATAATACGTTGTTGCATTATCATATAGCGTACAGTATATTGGCTTTTCACATATAAAGGATGGATATTCGTTTTCTTCTTGCAAAACTCATTGTGCACTCCCCACTTTTGCTATTAAATATCTGAATTGGTCCTACAGTGGGTAAAATGAATCAGAGTCAAGGAAAGTTTGGAAAATAAAAGATTGCTCCAACAGAAAACCATTTAATATTTAGACATGTAATTTCGTGTAACCATCAATGATACTGGTTTAATATTACTCATAAATCACTGCAAATTAAATTCCTCATAAGGAATGCATAGTCAGCTTCATACTTTGGAAAACCAAAAGAAATAACCAACACAATGAAAGCAACCATATTCTTTTCTGTATCTATCTATAACTACAGTACATTATCAAAATCACTTTTACACAGCGACCATTCATCAATTTAACAAGTGTATCTTAACATTCGTGGACTGGCTTTGAATTGTTGTTGCTGGATGCCCTTCATAGTCCAGAGACATTGATACAGTACGCAAGGCACAAAGAACATTAAAGGGAAAAAAATACATTCAAATAATCATTAAAAAAAATGATTCAGATCCGAGTCAATAAGCACTGAGTTTAAGGTACTTGGATTTCCAGATGAGTATAAAGTTTGACAGAGTTATGACAGATCAGACGGTTTGAGAAAAGAACATCTCAAAAATAATTTCCTGTTACTTTGGCCTAAATACCAGAGTGAGGCTGCAGACTACAGACTTCATTCACCCTGAATAATGACAATGCATATCAACTATATGCTCAAAGCAATTATCAGTGTATGTCAAGATCCCAACAGGTATCCACAAACAAAATGTGTGCAGACTATGACGACAGATTTATTTCAGAGGAGTACATTGCTATATTTTCCTGTCTTTTCCTTTTAGTATCATTTAATATAGAATAAGCAACAATTAAGCAAGATACGCAAAAATCACATTTCAAGATTTACGAATACTGGAGGCTAAATTTTTGTTTTGGTGAAAGGTATTTTTACTACTGTTCCTCCTTGGATGATTAAATATAGCAACCCCAACCATCTGGCCATCCATGCAGACAACAAACCCAGTATCAAAGTACTCTTTAACCCAGCTCTACTTTGGTTGAGCGAGTTCAAGCTGGAGAATATGGTTTGAGAGAAAAAGAACATTACATTTTCTATAAAAGTTTTAGGTCACTCTGAACATTTTAATTTTCAGCACATGTCCAGAATTACAGGCAGCGTGAGAGATGACTGGAAGGTTGTTTTTTTTTTTACCTCCGCAGAAGATACCAGTGGTGCATGTCCTCAGATGTATTCACTTCAAGGTGACAGTGTGTGAGGCTGAGAACCTAACAGCTAGAGCCGGACCAGAGTGACTAAACCAGATGGATGGTATTACAGTATGTGCACCCTTTATAGTAGCTGTTTTTGCAGCAAAATATGCAGAGTTGCACAAAACCAACATGAGTCTGTGTCATCGCTGGTCAACTCTGCATCTCCATGCAGCAGGGCTCTGCTGCTGCAGCGACCTCAGCTTCTTTCCGAACCAAAGCCACCAAACTACACCGATCACAACACACACAACTGACTCCACATAGTAGCCGTCCAATGTCACAACACAAGCACCGCCCTCCTTAACGCACAGCTGGAGATGGGGACAAAAGAAGGATATTCAGTTTATACATTCTAGATAAGAACAGGCACACCGCCTCTTTCCACACTCTCTAATCACTTACCCATGCCTCTTCTGGAGAGCCACAGCTCTGGCCGACTGCCCCCCGGCACTCTTTAGAGGTCAGTGGATCCACCATCCACAGAGCCACAGTGGACGGCCAGTTTCCTCCAAGATTAGTGACGGTGTTCAGTAGTGTCATGTAGGTCCCGCCAATGACTGGGTCACTCACTTTGGCATGAAAAGCCATGCAGGCCACATACATGCTGTACAACGATACCTGGGGTAAAAATGAGAATTTTTTCTTAAAACTAAACAATTCTCAAAGTAACAGTGTCATTCACTCAAAGTTTGGATTAAATGATCCATTGTTCCTAATCAGCTAATGGAAAAAGCCAAGATCCAGAAAAAGGATCTGTTGTTTATCACTGAAATACTGTCACTTGGCGTCACACCTAGTAACCTTAATGCTGTTGAACTTCCATTATCAGACCACAAGTTTGTTCGGTTCGACCTTACACTTGTGATGTCAAAGTCTAATCTAAGGCATACCATATTGTTCTGTAATCTTAAAAATATTCATCTCAGTGGCCTAAACATACTACCTAATACCTCTGCTTTGCTTACTTGCCCCTCTTT